TCTTTTTTTGTTAGCATCCGGTCAAATTTCTCAAATATTTAGTGGAAAAGATTGGAGTGCAAACACTGCTGCAGCTACACCCGTACTTGGTAGTCATGTTGTTCATCAATCACGGCGATTATATGTTGGAAATATTCCATTTGGAGTTTCAGAAGTAAGGAAATATTTATAGAACAAAAAAAAAAAGAACGAAAATGTTTATTTTTTAGAATGCAATGATGGATTTTTTTAATCAACAAATGCAACTTACTGGTTTATCACAAACAGAAGGAAATCCAGTTATTGCTGTTCAAATAAATCTTGATAAAAATTTTGCTTTTCTTGAAGTAAGTTATTTTGGTTTTTTATTTTTTTTTTTTGTATTTATATATATCAAATTTTAGTTTCGTTCAATTGATGAAACAACAGCTGCTATGGCATTTGATGGAATTGTTTTTCAAGGACAATCACTTAAAATTCGTCGACCACGAGATTATCAACCAATGCCAGGAGGAGGTGACCAACCAAATACGAATGTACCTGGTAAGTTTTAAGATAAATAAAAGAAAGAATTTCTCTTTTTTGTTTTGTTTTTAGGAGTTATTTCAACTGTTGTTGCTGATTCACCATTTAAAATATTTCTTGGTGGTTTACCTAATTATTTAACTGATGATCAGGTAGGTGGGAATTATTTGTTTTTACTTCGATATTGACTTTATATGAAAACCAGGACCGTCCCGAAATATGAAAAAGATTGATCATGAAAAGATAATTGTTTTTTGATTTTTGTTCGTTTAAATTATCTATATCGAAAGGAAGATTCTTAATTCATAAGTAGGGCATTGAGTTTAGACGAAAATTCTAAAAATGTTCATGTTCCATTGACTTTTATTCTTGTCTTATGGTCATTTTATTGAATTTTAAGCATAGTACGTAAAAAAACCCCAATAAGAAGTTTCCATCTGAATGTTTTAGTGTCAATTTTAAAGATATGGAATATCTAAAAAGTGGACTATGAGAAAGAAGGTTATGTGTTATCGGAAAAGAGAAGCATATGTTTAAGTTGAAACTTGCAGAATATAATAAGTACTATTAAAGTGTATTATGGAGAAAAATTTTCTGATGAACAATTTTTACTACGAGTTCTTTTTGCATTATGCTTAGAATTCAGTAAAATGGCCATAAGTCGACACGAAAGGTCTCAGGATCACGAACATTATTAAAGTTTTCATCTAAACTAGAAATTCTATTTATGAGTGAAATATAAACTCAGAAAGAAGATATTAATTAGAGAAGTTTTCTCGTTAGCTTCTTTAAAACATTAAAGACTGAAATAATATTTTGAATTTCTCGATCTCTTAATTAAAATTTGATTTGATAGAAAACCTACATTTTACTATAAGAGAGTTATAAAAAATATATATAATATTTTATTTTTGAAATCATGTTCTACTAGCAATGTTTATGAAATAGAATAATATGAAAAAATTGCAATGAATTTCTATCTTCTGCTTGCAACTTAAATTAGATTAATATTAAGAGAATCCACCTCCTTCCTTTTTTGTGACCGTTCTTGAAGAATCGATCCAGTTGAAAGCACTAAAAATAACCAAACATGTGTTCGAGCAAAAAAAAAATTGCGATTTTTTTCTGGGAAACCGTGATTTTCATCGAGCCGCATTCTGATTACTTACAACTCTCATCAAACTTTAGAGGCGGATTATCCTTAAGGGAAGTCAACAATTGAGTTCAACATTGAATAATAAAAATAAAAATTTGCAATGTTTTTCTTTCGAGACGGTCCTGAAAGACTCAATAATAGTGAGAAAAAAAAATATAGAAAAGCTGATTTTTTTCATCTTGTTGTTCTAGACTAGGTCAGCGATGATGTGTCGAGCATTTGGTTAAATAATTATAAAAAATAAAAACTAATCTATTCTCGCTCGGCACGCATCTAGAACAACGAAGAAATCGACATACATCTATTTCCCGTGAGTTCGATTTTAGATATCAAAACAACAAATATATATACATATTCAGTTTCAATTCCAAATTTATATATGAAAAAAAAAAAAAAAACACCAACAACTAAATTCTTTATTTTTTTCTCGTTTAGAATTTCTTTTAGAAATTTCTCTTTTTTAGTCTTTAGATAATTCATGGTTGGGTGGATTGCTTTTTTTTTGTTTTGTTTTTAGATTTAATTGGAAAAGGATGTTTATATATATATATATATGAAAAAAGATTAAAAAAAAAAGGAAACAAAGTTTTTTTATTTTTACTTATTCCCTATTTTTAGCATTGAATTATTTGTCAAGAATAGATTTGTTTTATATAATGTTTTTAGGTCAAAGAATTATTAATGAGTTTTGGTCCATTAAAAGCATTTAATTTGGTTAAAGATGGAGCAACAGGACTTTCAAAAGGATATGCTTTTTGTGAATATGGTGATCCTAATGTTACAGATGCTTCTATACAAGGTCTTAACGGTATGCAATTGGGTGATAAAAAATTAATTGTACAATTAGCTAGTGTTGGTGCTAAAAATATGCCTGGAGTAAGTTTGAAATAATTATTTTCAAAGAACAAAAATAATCGATTTTTCTTTATTAAGGTACCTGGTATGATAGGTGTACAATTACCTGGTATGAATTTATTAGCAGCGACTGTAAGTACAGAAGTTTTATGTTTATTAAATATGGTTACTGAAGAAGAATTACGTGATGATGAAGAATTTGAAGGTAAATATTTTATTTTATTTTATTTTATTTTTATTAAATTTTCTTTTCTATAGATATTATGGAAGATGTACGAGAAGAATGTAGTAAATATGGTTTTGTTAAAAGTTTGGAAATTCCACGACCAATTCAAGGCGTTGATGTACCTGGTGTTGGAAAGGTAATATCATTGAATGATAATATTTTTGATCATCAACTTTTTTTTTCAGTATTTATTTAACATTACTATTTGTCAATAAAGCCCTAAGTTTGACTTTGTGATGTTCGCCACTGTCTATCAGAGTAATTAAAGCGAGTTAAAAAACAAAAAATAGTTGGATATTTTTTAAATAATTGGTGATAGAAATTAGATAGAGAGCTGAGTTTTCACCATTGAAAGGAGGAATTGAAGTCACTTCGAATTATATATTATAGATTCTTCTAAGATATATTTTTCTAATCAAATTTATTTAAAAAAAATGTTTGAATGAAAAAAAAAGTTTTTTTTATTTTAATTAGATTTTTGTCGAATTTACATCAATCAGTGAATGTCAAAAAGCACAACAAGCATTAACTGGACGAAAATTTGCTAATCGTGTTGTTGTTACATCATATTATGAACCTGATCGATATCATCGACGTGAATTTTAATGAAATAGAAAAACGTAAAATTAATTAAGAACGTTACTTTTCTTTTTTTTCTTGTCTTTTGATTATATGTACAAGTTGCATTGTTGTCGCCGTATGTATGTGTGATTCTGTTTCTTTTTTTCTTTTTCTTGTGTTTCTGTATTATTGTGTGTTATAAAACAATACTAAAAAGAAATATATGACTCGTTCACGTGACGCGACGCTTCGTTGGTCAAGTTTTTGAAAATTTTATTTTTGAGTTGGACAGATTTGAATACATTATTACGTGTAGTTTTTTCACGCTAATTATGAAGTTGACATTTGTTCTTTAAAAAAAATTCAATTTTGGTATCGATAACCGCATTTTAAAAATAGTATTTTGAATTTTCTAAACAACAAATTTTTCTAAAAATGCTGAATGACACACCATTCAATACAGAATTTAATTTTCTACAAAATGGCCTATTTATTTTTTGACTTTCGTTGCTAAGTGTAGGTTGTTCATTCTTGTACAGTGTCCAACTTACTGTACATTTGATGAGTTCCTGTTTTGATGTAGCAACTTGATTCTTGCGTAGAACGATTAGATATACAGAAAAGACCAATATTTATAAAAATCAAATATTTCTGAACATGTTAAGTGCCCTAAAATTGGTCGATAAATAACGGTGTAACATTGTTACATTTGGTTTTTTTGTTACTGTAAAAAAAGTCCGTTCAATGCTCGATAAAACTGGCTTTAGAAACATTTCATTTGGAGAAAAAAAAAGGATCTTTTTATGCAACAGCGTTACATGATGATAAAACTTTTCTAGAAACTCGAGACTTCATCCAAAAAAAAACGTCATGCTTATAGAATAAATAGAGTGTGATATGTTGCGTTGAATGGCGTTTAAACAAACTTTCTATTTCTCAAACCTTCAGAGATAATTAAAAAGTTAATATGTCAAGAGCGTAACAACGTTACGTTTGAACAAGCCGTATAGTATAGATTGATTAAGACGGTACGTTTTTACAAAAAAAATACCATCAGATATATTCTTTTTAACAGATTAATAAAAAAAGAATTCTACGAAGAATATAATTAGTAAAATTAGTATCAATTGATGTATGATCTGTTTTTACATATTTTATAAAGAAAAGTGGACATGCTTCTTGCTTTTTTTGTATAGAAAAGTACGTAGAATATTAGTTGAATCTCATTAAACAAATGAGTCCTTGTGAACAACATATTATTTATCAGATAGATCTAATGGATATAAAATTAAAATATATTTGTTCGTATTATTATTCGATAATGTCAGGTATGATATTATCCAACCTTGTAATATATAGACAATCCTTCGCTTGTCTTCATCTATTTGTGTTCGTACAAGGTCTAACTGCAATGTGTGTTATGAAACAAAATTGTCTATCAATATGTTCAGGTGTACGTTCGTCCGGACGAATAGTAACGCTTCATGAAACATTAACAGCAAAGAAGGAGAATAAGACACGTAGATGCATGCACGAAGAAAAAAAATCAATCTTCAACCACTATTAATGTTTATTTCTTCTAATGAGACACATTTTCCTTGTCGTCATGATGGTAACTCGAAGGTAGTGATGTAATACAAAAAAAAGCAGCATTTAAAAGATAAAGAACGTTTTGAACAAACGTGATAGACACATAACATGGGTGGCCGATCTGGGAGAAATCGGATTCCACTAGATGACCCCTTCTTGAATGGTGTGCCACCTCTAGGACCCTATCCTCCAGGACCCTATCCACCAGGCAACGATCCAATTGGTGGATTAGCTACATATGGTCCTTATCCACGACCTGGTTCTGGACCTTACCCACCTGGATCAATGGGAAACATGTATGGACCACCACCTATACGTCGACCTAACAATTTAGGTGGTCGATATGCTCAAGGTAAGTTTTAGTGAAAAGACAAAAAAAAATTTAATTTCAATTAATACCAAGGTTTTAATCGAGCGCCTAGTATGGTTCCGTGGAGTTATGGAAATTATTATTTGGGTAATACTACAATGCAGACAATACCATCTATGTTTAAAAAAGTAGCTCAATTAGGACAGATACAGGCACTGTCTGCACTTGCGAATCCTAGTTTATTAGGTCCTGCAGCAATGATGCCATGCATGCCAGCGATGCCATGTATGCCAGCGATGCCATGCATCCCAGCAATGCCACGCTTGCCAGCAATGCCATGCATGCCAGCAATGCCATGCATGCCACGCTTGCCAGTAATGCCATGCATGCCAGCAATACCATGCATGCCAGCAATGTCATGCTTGCCAGCAATGCCATGCATGCCACCAATGCCAGCAATGCCATACATGCCAATGATGTCTTCTAGCATGCCTTCTTCATTCAGTATGTCAATGGCTGCTCCAATGATGGCTGCTGCTACTCCATTACCTGTTGCATTTAATCCATTAGTTCAAGGTATGTATCCAATGGCATCAATGTGTCCTGTTAACTGGATGACTCCATCATCGTTTATGTCTGCTTTAATATCGGGTCCTATGCCTTATCGTCCACCAGTATTTGATTTTCCTAACAATATTGGTATGATCATGACTATTCCCTATGGTACATCGAATCCTTTACTTTCATCACCAAGTTATGATTCATCATTTAATTACGGTGTCAGACCTTTTTCGTGTTATTGGCCTGATTCCATGCCACCAGCAACAACACCTTCATATCCAATGATTAGTTATTATCCACAACCATATCCTTCTGTATATCCTGTTCCTCCAGCACTACCTTATATTCACAATACAGCACTTCAATCGTCTGTATATGCTGGTATGCCAACCACAATAGCTGGTTATAACCCACCATTATCTATACCAAGGGACGCTTCACTTATGCCATCACAAGGTGCTGTTACAAATGTTGGTTTTACTCAACCTGCAGTACTGACAACCAATAGCAATTTGACTACATCTAAATTGATAAATAGTCAATCAACAAAATGTTCATTACCAGTTTACAATACAACAGATCAATCTCAACTTTTAATAGGTCGAAAAGTTATATCCAGTAATTCTAATCTTCCAATCAATTGTGATGAACGTTCAGAAATCACACCAGATACACTCAAATATCGATATAAAATCTCTCAAACTCATGATACTACTCCTACTCGTCTTCGTCGTTATGTATCATCAACCTCTCGTTCTAATTATAAATCAACTACATCTCGAGATCGTAGGGAACCAACTTTACCTCCTATATTAAATGGATATCTTATATCGGATTCTGGTTGGTTACCGAAAATTCCTGAATCTAATGCAATATCATCTATAGTTGGTAGTAAAAAACGAAAACGAAAATCATATACAATTGAAAATGGTACATCAGTAATAGCTCCAACAAATAGTCATGTACCATTTATTTCACGACGACGTTCTCGTCATGGATCAAAATCATCAGCATCTGAATATGATTGTGTTATATGTCAGCAACAACGTGAAAAACAACGTTTACGTGGACATTTTACTGAATCAACGATTTCATCATTATTACAATCATCAAAAGGTTCACGTCAACATCGTTTATCGTCGAATGAATCTTCCTTATCATCAAAAGCACATTCACCAAAATCATATAAACATGGTGATCATAAATCATATCGTCGTCATCGAAGACGAATTAAACATCATAATAAGATATCATCAAAAAAATCAAATTCACCACGACAATCACCCATGCGTGAACGACAACAAGATGATACAATACATGAACTAGAAGAAAGAGAAATTGAAAATCAGGAAATGGAAAAACATTTTATTGATGATGATGATTATATTCACGATTCAGATAATGAACAACTTGATCATCATGAATCACCAATTAATAGTTTAAGATCATCAGAAGAATAAAAGCTTTAACAATATATGAATAATAAGAGCTAAATTGTAGTTTTATTTCAATAAAATTTTAGTTATTTATTTTATTTTAGATCAGCAACTATATATTACGTTAATAAAAAGCAATGAAAAGAAAATATTAAAGAATAATACTTTTATTCTTTATAGTTTCTATTCAAGTAAAGGAAATCTATTCCTTTATAATTACTCTAACATATAATAACCATTTTAAATAAATCTTTTTTTATTTCTTTCTTGTTTTCTATTACATTATTATTATTATTATTAATATAACAACTACTAACTCTATCATCAATATAAATTCTAAACAACTGTTTTCTATTTTTAACTACTTAT